TAGTCAGTCAACTTATATGAGACTGGGCCGTGGAACAATCACGATAATTTATCTTCCAAGTATCACTGATCACGTGTCTTTTGGAAATATGTTTCGAATCATTGGTTATCTTGATAATTCTAGGATGAACTAATAAAGTGTAGTGAGTATATTTTCTGCAATAAGGGAGAAAAAGAAAAGTATCGAATTGATAACCGCCACATTGAGGGAGCGCGCCTGGCAGAAATTTACCAAAAATGCTCTGCACGTCGTTCATGCCTACTCGGTTCCCAGACCAAGAATCTCCGACTACTCTGCCGATTCAAGATTTTTGCAAGAGTCGTCAGGGAATCTTTGGGCCCTCACTTAGTTGTGCGCATGCGCACCGAATCCACTAACGACAGAAGCCAGTAAAATGGCTCTTCACTCGGGCAGGTGGACCCCAAAAGTAATCGATCAACATCAAGCTCAGAGTCTCTTTTGATAACTTGCACACTATAAAAATCCATTTCCTGCCAAAGTTTTCCCCGTTTTTGTCACGTACCTCCAAAGTAACAGGGTCAGAAGTTGAAAGTGAAGCGAACATTTTAGAGGGGATTTTTTCAGTTTTGCCGAGTTTTCCCTGACATTTCTCTACTTATGAAGGGTAAGGAATATCATTAACACCCTAATGAGAAAGTATCATACAAGAAGGAAACCGTATGGATGAAAACGGAAAGTTTTTGTTTGTGCCTTTTAGTCGGGCAATTTGACGTGATTGTACACGTACCGGTACATGTATTCGTGCCATGCAGTAGGTCAACTCGTACCCACACGCATTCGTATCCAGGTATGTGTACATGTACGTGTGCACCATGCCCAAAATCCCGACATCTCACATTCGACCGCTGCCAAACTCAGAGCGGAAATTAAGTTGAATCTGCATGAAAAACGAACTGCATTTCAGACAAATGACTCTCGATCTTAAAAAAAAATTGAGCTGATATATACAAACAATTTATCAGTCTTCCAAACAGTATCACTGATCATCTCAGGGGAATTCGACAAAAGTGTGAAAATTGGGCACTAAGTAACGTGAAAAACACGGAAAAGGACTTTAAAATGGGTCCCAATGAAAAACGAAGGGAATTTCAAAAATGGTTTTCTTCCTAGACGTAGTCAACTTTTTTGTACATTAGATATAATGGTCTTTCATGTGGCATCAAAATTGTTTGAAGGTAAACTCGGCAAAAATTGTGAAAATAAAATACAAAGTTAGGTAAAGAAACGATAAGTTTTCTTAATTAAACATTGATATTTTCCACTTTCTTTGATTACAATCCGGCGATCTTTCTTAAGAAGCAATTAAATATTACCATTCGATAGACCCTTGGCAATTCATTAAGACAAATGAATTGATTGAAATTGAACAAATCGCTCACATGGGTCACCACCGAGTCGTCTGCTAGAATAATTTTTCAGGCCGACGACCATCATGTCACTATTGCGCATGCGCGGATTGGGCACAATTGGCGCGCAAAAGGCATTACCGCTAGAACCAGGGCGTGAACCAACACGCGTGCGTACTCCATTCGTTTGCACTGCACTTTCTGGTTCACAGAGACGTCACACTTCAGTACTCCATGGGGACTGAACATTCGTGATAATATAGCTGTAACCGCGTGTGACGTATTTCTTTCACTAAAATCTGATGTGCCCCGTTCGGCCGGGCGCCGGGCGAACTTCGGTGATAACAGCACTTCGCTGGTTCACGAACGACAATGAAATGCATGCGTTGCGGTGGCTTAGCTACCAACAAAAATGAACACTCCCTGCCCGATGCCGAACCGCTCATTTTAACCGATGAGTGGGTGCTTTTGCTCAAGACGGAAACCAGTGCAACCCACTGGCAACGGAAGCGGGGGGGGGGGGACTTTATAGACTTGGGGTAATGGCCCACCAATTTACGCAGGTCTTTTAATGGCTGATCCCTGATGGTCTCACAAAATGGTCCCTCACTTTGAAAATCGTTCCGCCGTCATTACTCCAACCTCTGCTCTGATGAACGCCGTTGCTATCTTCGGTAGCCCTTAACGTCGTCCTTTTCATACATTACACAATTTCGTTCGACAGTTTTGCCGTTTCATCAGATGAGTTTACCAATCAGTTTGGCAATTTCACCATTGGGATCATAGATGTGCCAATTTAGACATCCAAGCCGCCTATTCCATCATTCAGTGGAACAGAGACGACAGAGTATACATTGTACAATATACGGTCACGTATGGAATCGAAATTACTTCCAACTTCTATATGAGTGTTGGTTCTCAGAACTACCATTCTTACTAGTAAGAAGAGATCGATTCCACATGGTGTACCAGCAAACCTTCTCTTAGACTTGACTTCAAGTCAAGCATTTTTGGGAGCATACGTAAGTTCATTGTGCAACTGAATTGAATGACCACTCACAAGAAAGTACCCCCTCTACTGACAAACCTCTGACAGCATCACAATAGTCGGCACATTATATTCAGCTTTGAGATGATGAAAAGGTACCGCTCGTGCAATTAGCAAATTAGAATACTCTCTTTTTTAATTTCGAGAATATCCGAAGCTCTGCTTTTAATTTTTTTCAGTTTGATGAGCACAGGTGCACATGAATGGGTCTACCCATCAAAACAACAATCAATTTAAAAAAAAACGAATCCTGTTAATATATTTGAAGTTTCAACTCAACTTTACTGATTCATACTGTTCCTTGCTCTATGACTGGTAACATTACAATTTTCCAATGACGTGGTGGTGGGTGGGGCCAATAGGGAAGATGGTTCTATGGCTCAAACCATACCCCACCCAAGCAATGTATCCAGGTCTTGAAGTTGAAGGCGTGACAAAATTGGAATTTTTTCCAAAAACAACAGTGCATTTTTTTTTCATCTGTGAAAGAATCTTCAACCTCCCCTATGTCAGGCGGTGGTAACATTCCTAAAACACTGCCCTCATACCCACCACTAACTGCCGAAACACAACACCTGCCCCAACAAACGAAGATATCATGAAAGTCATATCGAGTCATGGACACTGACGTCATTTCAAATTTCAAACAAAGGTACCGCTTGAGCCCAGCAAGGGGATGCAAATTGCTTTTCTGAATGAAATGTCTGTGCGTATACACTTTGCTGCTTTCAAATGAAAATACAAGTCTTAAAAAAGCATCCTGGTTAAGCCCAGTTTTTGATGACTCTTCAAGCTGACAGATTTTCCCCCCTTAGTGGGCTCTCGGGGAATTTACATATGTAATGTAAACTGCAGCTCAAGGAGGGCTGAAGCTTGGGGCCTGAAAACCCCATAACTTAGGTGAAAGCAGTGCCCATTCATGCAGCACTCCAGTTACAACAATCAGTCACTCTAGCTTTGGTAAGCGAGCACACACCAACAACAGGTCAGCATAGTCAGGTTGACGTAGTGGTTCTTTCCTCGCCTTCCACCTCTGTGGTCCCCAGTTTGATTCCTGGCCTGGTCCACATGTGGATTGGGTTTTCAGTCCCAAACTGATTCCATGGGTTTTACCCAGAATATTCCTCTGGGGTTTTCCTCCCACCTCTGAAACTGTCACTGCTTCTCATTGTCTCCTCTCTTCGGGTTTCTTCAGGCTTTTGATTTACGGTGCCTAGGGCACTTTTGAGGAATCCTTGGTGCCATTACCAGAAAGACTTAAATAAATTTTTTTTAAAGAAAAAACACCAACAATGATTCTCATTTGGTTGAAGGTTAACGCCTGCCATGCACATGTACACTCAAAGGTCCAGCCTTCTGGTTTGGATGAATGCATCGTCAGCTCTGGTCAGCTGCTTTTTCCCATCGTTGCTTGTAGACTTCCTTCACCCATTCTTGAACAGTCGGATGCGTAAATTTGCCTGGAGGCAGGTTTAATAAACAAAATTTATATCAAAAGACAAAGGCAGAGAAAAAGAATGCAGGGGCCAAAAATGAGTGCACTGAGGTCATCCTTTCATTTTGTGAGGGAAGTTCAAAGAACTGCCCATGAGCAAGCTGAATTACACAGATACATATTAGCTTTATTATGCTGATGTGGGACCTTGAATTTTCCTCTCAGAAACAACTCCAACTTTCAAAATATTTCGCAATGCCGCACTAAAGATGCGACACCCAATTTCCCATTTGGACATTGCTTTTCTACAAATTGTTAACTCCCCCCCCAAAAAAAAAAATTGCTTGAATTACAAGATTTGTTTTCTGGAATGATGAATGAAACACAAAATAAGTACAAGTTGCAGACAGTGACAACCTGCAAAGGGCAGATCTAGGTTCACTGAGATACAGAAATACAAAGGGACACAGAAAGCCATAGCCTTGCATGTTCCACCGTATTCCTGAATTTTAATGGAGCCTTGATTGGACCTTGCAATGACCTCTTTCCTACGATGGTAACGGTTCCAGTTTTGCTGTCAAACATCCCCTGAGCCAATCTCAAGTCCCAAGATTTCACTCCCAAGTCGCAAGCTATTCAAATGAACTGTGATAAAAGGGCCTTCATTTTATCACCGTTCACTGCAGGTAACCAATGATCAAATGGTGATAGACTTACAATGGACTTGATGAGAGACTATTCTGAAGGATACCACACATATTTAAAACTTCTTTTTCTTAGAGGAAAATTGATGTAGGCCAAAACTAATGCCATTTGAGTGTATGGTGTTCAGGAACCCGTGGAGCTATGGTTCTCACAAGGATGCCAAATCCACTCATGCAAACGGATTCTGAATCTGAAAGGCCATTATTTCCACCAGTGGTGTTTTTCCGAATTTAAAAAATGTTTCCGAGACTTTCCGACCAGACGTTTTCCACATTGTCTGGCAACTAGCGCTTTCATCTGGTTCAACCAATGGCCTTTATATGCCGAAGGACCGAACAACATTCACCTCAGTCAGATCCTTTGAATACTTTTATGAGATAAATTGTGATTGGATCTTTGGATCGACGACTTGTAACTACATGCGCTGACTTTGAAGGGCTTAAAGTCTTGCCTCACGACCAAGTCATTGTGGCGATTCCATTCTAGTTTCATTACATTTTGGTAATGGTGGAAATGTGCTGCTTCTCTCCCCCTCACTTCAAAAGTTGTGAGAAAATGGTTAATTTGGTCAAAAAGAAACTACAGATGGATAACCACTAATAAAGACTTGTAGAGTGTTGGCTTAGGAGCTCAGTTTGCATTTTACACGTGCGTTCCCAGAACACTTATGATTTCTGCCTGGTTTCAAACTGAACAATTGTTCCCTGTTAAATTAATGCACAGCATCAGCAATGATGAAAAGCAAGGAGTACATGTACATGTGCGGGTACATGCATATGGGGAGATGTAACCAGACCGTGATGGCTCACAAAGGACTGTACCCAAATGATTCTACTGTGTTTTTGATTGATGAACTACCATCACAGAAGTTACACTTTTTTTTTCCTTTTTTCATTTTGACACGGTCTCGCCGAACACATGGCTACAACCCCCCCATAAAAAACCCGCAATATTTTCCCCTTTGAGTTCTGCTCCACTGAGTTTGTGCAGTTACAAAACCAACACAGCCGCAGAGGGCACAACATACTGGTATTAGAATGTTTGCCTGCTCAGTTTGGCCGGTGTTTGGATGTGGGGCCTTTGCCCAGCGGGTCAACTCCCTATTGAATCACCCTTGAGCTGAGGACTCAGAGTTTTTCTGCAGTTCTTAAAATAGAATCCTCAGAAATGTGCATTGATGTCTCGATTAATCTCATTTTCATTTTAAGTTTCACTTCTTTAAAAGGGCATGTAGCACCTTTTTGGTTTTAAGTTAATAAGTTCAAGTATTCATGAGCAAAACTGTGATGTCATTCAAGGCAGAAAACCTAAAAGTAACCAATTCTCACACCAGAAAATGGGAGAATCTGTAATAGTCGTAAGTCCCGATTTAGCTGGGTAAGTACATGGCAATAAGCTAGCAAGCAATTCTTTGTTAGAAACCTTTTCAATGAGCAAATTTTGAGTGCAAAAACTGAACAGTAAGTGTATAAACTGTGCTAAACAATGGCCTTTCCTGAATGACATACTAGCAATGGCGCCCTCAGTCGTCTGGAAAAGCATGTACAATTCAAAAGGTTCCAAAAAGTGCACTTTTCAATACACTTACCCCAACAGGATGTCAAATTATTTTCATGGATTAAAAAGGGGTATAAAGTTTCACACTCGTTCTATGACTGTGTGTCTAATTCCTCACGAGGAGCAAAACTGACAGCCTTACCGTGGCATTTCACATAGTGAGCTCTGCTTTTTTACCCAAGTATCCATGTCGTGCAATCGGTGATGTCCCGAGGCTTGTGAAAAAAATTTCACAAGCTTACTCGAACCCATGACCTCCTGCTTGTAAGTGCAGACGTCTTCCCATTCGACGGCTGCACTTGCCAGTCAGTTTGAGTCAATAATGCAAGTTTGTATCAATAATCATGGATATCACTTAGTACAGTAAATCGGTAAAGAACAAAACTCCCAGCGTGGCATAAACAATAAATATTCTCTGAGGCTGTTGCAGGGTGTCAGTAGCTTCTTGTAAACACTGTGGAAGTTACACAAAAAGACAGCAGTAAAGAATATCACCAACAATCCCCCCCCCCGGGTCATAGATGTCAGACACCGGTGGCGTTCTAAAATTAGAAGCATGTTTCATTTCAAGTTTTGCACTCACTGAGAAAGCCCTTCCACGGACAGGCATTCATAGTCCTCGACGCGGAACAGCAAAACAACTCCGGGATTATCGAGCGAGATTGATATTGGAAGCTGGGAGATGTTTGTCTATATACATTTTGCAGTTGTCGAGGGAAGATCCGGCTTTGTCCCACGGTTTGACAATGACGTTGGGGGGGGGATGCTGCTACAGACAGTATTGCCTGGTGACTCCTTGTGTATTGGGGACAGGTATGCCAGTTGGCTGGTTGGTTGCAGCACTGATCCGTGACATGCACTGTGAATGGGCCAGGTTTCTTCCCACGATTCCACACCCTGTTTCCTCAGCGTCCACCTGCCATCATGGTTCGTGTTTTTGTTTTGTTTTCGTCTCCTCACCGGAAATTGCCAGATTTCTAGAATGGAGGGCTTTGACAGAGAAAACACTGAATGCCAACCAAAAAAGACCACAAACAAGTGAGAGACATGATCGCTCCCACAACTTACTGAAATGAATAAAGAATTCTGTCCACACATACTATTAGCTCAAAGGACTTTACACCATTGCATTTTTAAAACATTTATAAATATGATAATCATGAAAAACTGAAAAGAGGATTGCATTTTACTGCGAGCCACATGTATCTGACAACTGTTGTCCATTGCTAGGCAGCTTTTTGTGTTGAGGTCAAATTTGATGAGTAATTGGACTGGACAATACTGACACAATGGAGAAATTTTCTGTCCAGTCATCCAAAGCAAGCAGACTGTAAAGGCTGTGATAGCAGTACATGACAAATGCCTCACAGTTGATGCCACTCTTGACTTCCACTCCACACTACATTGCCCAAAAATTTTCATCTTGTTTCAATTTGTCACATGGCTACTATGCAAAATGCAAATTCTCACATCCACACGAACCAAGGCCAACTCAGGCAGAGGTTTCAATTCCACCAACAAGGGTGAAATGTAGCGTACCCGGTACACATGAATTCTCCTTTCTGGTTTGCTTTTCAAGGTTCCTGCACCTAAAGGACAATTAAATTCCATGACTTTTCCATGACCAGATTATGAAAATCCATGATAAAATAACATAACTTCTTGGACTATTCGGCTATTTAGGTTGCAAATTTATACATGTACCGTACAATCACAGATTTTATGCGCTTATTTCTGATAATAGAAATCACACAGTGTTTTATGACATCCATGACAAAATTCCATGACTTTTCCATGACTTCACTCATTTTGACAAAATTCTATGACCTTTCCAGACCTGAAAAGGAAAAAACAAATTCCCATGACTTTTCATGGCTGCAGGAACCCTGCTTCTTACTTGACAATGACTCTGTGAAGGAAGGCACAGTACACATGCACATAAATGGCAGAAAGAAGCTGAGTATGGGGTTTTTAAATGCAACATTTGTATTCTCTCAGATTTCACTACGTCGACTACGTCGAACACTGAATGTCTATATACCTGCACACTTCTTTGAGCGCAGTGTGATTGAATGTTTGTGGGTATGCTTATTGTCAACCCGATACCAGACCTACGCCGTCCTCCACAGAGCATTGTTTGGGAAGTGCGATGCACAAGGACTAGATTGATGACCCCACCCACAAAATGTGGCAGTCCTGGACGCATTCACGAATAAATAGGTACCTGCATCGCTATCTCAGCTCAACGGAACAAGCCAGCATTTGTCTGGAACAGACCCAGTCCAAAACTCTGGTTCCCCTTGAGTTATCCGAGTTGATGCCACATTTTAATCAGCAACTCTCTCACGCAGGTTCTTCAGCTTGACGCCCATTGACATGTACATCGGTCGACTGACAGCACCCTATTAGACGAGGAGGCATGTAACGCATGCACACCACCTGTCCACGAGCGTTGTGCCGTTGCAGCACTGTCCTCTAATGCTGGTAGAGGCATCACGCTACAGGGCTGCCCCAACATTTGAATATTTCATCTAACATCAAGTATGGAATTGACGGGGGAGGGGTTATCAACTACTCAGAAGTAAAATGCACCGATACAAATTTGGAAAAATTCGATTTTGGGTAAGGAAACTCAATTCAAGTATACAGCAGTTCAATGTTGGAAGTGGCGGACAATTCCGCGCAAATACCATCCAGGGTTTTGATTCTGTTTTTTGCTCATGTTGGGCATTGCAGTGTTGGAAAAACAACCACCACGAACAGAGACCAAGGCCCTATCTTTACAATGTACAAGTATTTCATGAATTATTCCTTTTTCTTTGTGAACTTCAGAGTCTACATGTATACCACAAAGAAGGGAGGTTGCCAGGGTCTGTCTGCCTGTTCCTATGACAACACATAACTTCATCTGATTCTTTCAAGTCCAGATTTCAAACGAACACAAAATCTCTTTGATAGAGGAACACTGCCAATTAAAGAACGGCACTAGAGTTTAGGTCCTAACTTACTCTCACCACATGACAGAACAGGATATGCGCAATTATAATAATCCCTTCCAATATGTCAGATGGTTTCTTACAGAATTACTGAAAAACCGAAAGGCAGCTTACAAATCGAACCTACTTCTATGGCCTGACTCCAAGCTTGCATGTACACGTATCGGCAACACAAAAAAAGAATTTGACTTCTGTCACTGAACAAGGGTTAATTCTTAACTTTATTTCATGTCAAACACACTTTGAATATTAAGAGCTGTTGGTATTTGCTATTCTGTCTCTAGTCACTTGTTTCAGATATCATTTCTCAAAAGTATCCCATGTGTCATTCGGAAATTTTGGAAATTTGGTTATTATACAGCCAAATGTTCGATTGAATAGAAGAGCAAATTTACTGACAAATTAAATTCTCTGAATTGACTCATCCCTACTGATTCTGCCCACCAAAAGAGTTGCTGGTGATCTAAACGTAGCTTGATGCTTCTCAATGCAATTCATGGTTAAAACAACGGAGCTCAAGTTGAAGACAGACTTGTGGAGACATTGGCAAAAAATCACAACACTAGGGGTGGGCAGTAAAGGGGCCAAGCCATGGGCGTCATCCGATGAGAGGAAAAGCTCGGGGGAGGAGGGGAGGATGTCGACAAAGCACTCAGCCGCAGCAAAGTGACAAATCATTGACAGTGAAAGATGGGGGGTTCAATTCCGAGATGTTTTCCAGCATACTGGTGATTTTTATCCCATAGTCTCCTTTCCATTTTGTTTGTTTATTCTTTTTTATAGCCTTTTTTTTTTCATTTTGCCATTTGCAACTTTTTTTTGAGGGGTGGGGCTGGGAATCTCCCCTCTGTCCCCCACACTCAAGATGCCAGTCATTTTAACAGTTTCCCTCATGGTTCCCCCATTCAGGCTGCCGTTTCAGCAAGACAGTGGAGTGTGTTCTTGTTTGTAAACAATTCAACGCTGGCCTACATGTACATAACTACGACCCCTGTATCAACCCATGGTTTCAATCCAATTATAGCCACCACATTGGTAACGGTGCACCTGAAGAACAGGCTGTAAAATATACATGTTCTCACATAATGCCATTTCCTAACCAAATATTTACCTTTTTCATTTCTCACTTCACTGATTTTTCACCACAGAATACTCAATTTTGAAAAAACACTTGAATACTCACTAAGGAATATCTGAATAACTGATACAGGTCTATGACCATGGCTGAGTGCAACTGAAGATTCCATACATAAAGGAATCCCTTGTTGACAAATCCGAGGAGACGCCATTAGTGCGGGGCCATTGCACTCACGCACATGCCTTAACTAGAGCGCCCATGTGCACTTTGGCAGATCACGACACCCTATTGGTTGTGGAGAGGAATGTAACATCTCATACCACCTGTCTGCCGACAGGATGGCCCCGCAGCAGTGGCTTCTGATTCGCCGGATTTGTCTAGAGTGTGGCATCTACTGGACCAGTGTTGGCACTGAGCCAAGAGACCATGGGCATGACCCAAAACGGTGCATACCTTTAGTTGTGTCGAAGAAGTCCTGTAACTCCATTGGCCTGTTCTGGAGCGTTTCATACTCAAAAGCCTGCAGGATCATCTCAAATTTGTCCAAGTCTTTCACAAACTTTGCCTCTTCAGTGGAGCCGTCCTCATACTCCTGCAAAAAAAGAAAATTAGGATCTGATTCAAAGTCAGTTACATTACTTAGCTTCGTGAATTTCTTGAATACAGCCTTTGCGCTGGCCCTGTCTTCATTGCTAAGATATCAAACACTGCCGCTGATCATTTCCAAACTCAATTCATACACATTCAACTCATTAGGAAAACGGCTTAAGTAGCTACCTGTATTAACACATTGCTTTAAATCCTGCCTTACTTTGTTCTCTTTTGTCATAGAGTTACTACATGAACCTTATCCTGCTCTGCCATGTCCTTCTTACCCTGCCAAGTCTTGTCCCATAGTTTCCTATTTTAACATGTCCTATCTAATCTAACATTCACAAAACAGGCTAAAGTAAGTTGTACCCAGAGTGATTTGTATAACGTACCCCTGTTTCTTAGGGGTTTTTTCAGGGTCATACGTCATGTGACACGTTTTAAATTCCATAAAATCTTGTTAACGTTGAATTTTAGAATGTTTCCCCCAGACTCTGCACAATCAGTTTGATCTTTATTGACTGAACAGGGCCCTGACTTCAGGATGTCTTACAAGGAATCCTAGTTTCACAGGAACCTGACCTTATGAGAAACGGGTACATGTACCCAGTTGCATTAAAATCCATAAAGCATACCTCTCACACAGGTCTTAGAGGAGTAGGAATCTAACGTACTTACTTCCCAGAGTTCACAGAACTGCAAACCAACAGTAGGGTCCACAAGACCAGCCAGGTGCTTCATGGCATCCTGAAAGTACATCATGCACCATCATCAAACTATCAGTGGGACGTACATACATCTCATTTTCAGACTATGTTGTCCAAAGACAGTGGCGTGAATCCAATCATGCAGGCAACCCAGTAAAAAATGTAGACCAATGTTAAGAGCTCGTATGACTCTGAGGGAGTTCAGTCATAAGCTGCTGGCAACAACACTTCGACTAACTCTCATCGAGCGCACGTCAGTCATTGGTGGTAGGACTTGGGGCCAGCCAATACAAGGATGATTGCATCGCTGGTTGCAAAAAGCGTTACACACAGCAGGGAACCAAGTGAAAGAGTTGCAGTGATAACTGGCCATGATGAGAGATGATTCACACTTTGGCATTTTTGAAAGGAGTGGATTCGGCTTAGACTTCGGTTTCGCTGGTTCCTGTCAGAGTTTGAACATGTGGTGTCGAACATCACCTTAAAACAGATGGAACCAGCGAGACCAAAGTCTAAGCCGAATCCAGTCGTTTCGAAAACGCCCTTTGACTACAGCACACAGGAGCCAGCTACATGTACATGTCACCATCAAAACCCTAGTCAAATGACATCAACTTGATTGAACTGTATCTTATATTTATCTGTGGACACAATGATCTTTTGTTGGTTACCAGCTTCCCCCATTGCCACCGCTGAGGAAGTGTACGTGTACGTATATGTACTCATGCGCAGAGCTTACAGTAAAATGACTGGTGCTCCTCAAGACTACAGGGTAGTCAGGAATGGGAAAGATGGAAGGGAGACGGTAGTGTAGTTGGAACCCTTTAAGACAATCACAGGACCCAAGAAGATCGTCACGAGATGCCCTACAAATATCACTAGGCCCCACAAGACGATCATAAATTTAACACAAAACCTCCAATCAGAAATCACACTGCTCAAATGAACCACTGACTTTGTCACTATTCACCTTATCACTTCAACTTACGTCTGCTCTTGTCGGTAGTTCTGTAGTCTGGTCTTGTAATGGTCTCAGCTTCAACACTGAGGGGAGAGGGGAGATGTCAGGGGAAGTGGAATGGGTACGAGGGAGGACTGATTACTTCCCCTCACCTTTTCTCGTCTGTATTTCTCTTCTTTGCTGATCCCATCCGCCGGTGCAATGTCCCCAACTATGCATTCTGCCAGGTCGTGAACTATGGCCATCTTCATACAGCTGTGGAAGAGAAGAACAGGTGATTTCTGTCCACTTTAGAAGCTCGTTTTGGCTACCGGTACATGCATATCAACATCTACGGTGGTTGGGTACATGTACCCAGATTAACAGTGACTTCCCTCTTCAACTAGCAGACCCAAAGTGTTCTGTTCATACGGTTCATTCTGAAAATTTCCTGGGCACCACCATATTGCTGCTTTTCATTGCCTATCATTTTGCGGCTCAGTACAGTTCACTGACCTTGAGGAAAAACAGGACAGAGTTCACTGCACCCCTGCAGACCCTCCAAAGTAAACTGAATTCAATGCCGAATGTTGACAAATGGAGGAAATAACGGCAATAAATGAAAGGTGGAAAGAAAATCTGAACTCCTATTGAAAATAGGACAATATCGTGCCTGTTGTAAATACATGTATCAATAAGGAAACTGTCACAGTTTGCTGTGTGTTCCTATCAGAATGGTGTTGTCAGAATGTGCGTACTGGTTGACATGCACTGAAAGAAAAATTTAGGGGGGTTAGGTAATTTTTGACTAGATTATCAGGACTTGGTGTGTCTATGTTATGATTACAGGTGCGTGGTCCTTCTCACAGCCATGGAACATGCCACGAAACATGTAACAATATGGTTTCATTACAAAAATGACTGGTCACCAGGCACCCACCATTTTGTGCAGTTGCCTATCAGCTATCAGGACACCCCTCCCGGCCCATGGAAAGGACCTGTTATTCTTTGAGAAAGTGTGTGACTAAAGCAGTGTGAACTTGGATAATTACAAAAGACCGAGAGAAGGTTTGTGGGTGCGCCATAAGGAATCAATCTCCTTTAGAATTGGGGTGGTTGCGTGAAGAACAAAAAGCATGAACTCGACGTCTCGACCCGGATGCTCTGGTCGTCCTCAGGAAGAATGCCAGACGAGAGTGGAGCACTGCAAAAGATTTTGCTTGGGGAAGGCAACAGCTTCTTATTTTGGCAGTTGGTGATGTGGATCAAGCACCAACTAATGAGTACATGCTGTACCACTGGGCAATTCCATTATACTCAACGTGCATTCAGGGGCTACAGTGTAGATGTACATACTGTACTGCAAAGCACTTACATGCACATGTACTTTACAGTAAAAGTAAGTCTTACTATATGTACACATCTGTATGTATTTGGTACAACTCAAGCTTAGGCAAATGCGTATGATACATGTATAACACAGTTACCTACGTACATGTGCCTTATAGTCTTATCGGCAGCAGAGCCGATGAGATATGAGCACTTACATGTACTGGTGCAAACCTCACGCAGTCTGACATGGGCTTTTGCATTCAGTGCATATTGATAAAAGTCTGTGAAGTTTGTTGCATAAATTTAAGGAAATGAATTCGCTGCGGTAGATACATATTTATGGATACATTCTGTACACATATGAATGATATTTTTCAAAGTTTCTGTAACGATATGGCAACATCAAACTGTGAACATTACAGACATTACCTTTCAATGTTACGGATGTTACGCATGAAAAAACGTTTTCACATTAGTAACTTATAGCACACTAACTCAAGGTATAGTCAGTTCTGCATATTATTCTTCACTTTCAAGAGACCGAACACAAACACAAAATGCCCAATGAGAAATGATTGCTTTCTGTGAGTCTGTGTCTCGCTTCACTGTAGCAAATTTACATGTCTCCCACTGTGCTGGACGGTACTGAAAATCCATAATTTTAGCAAAAATGAAAAAGGTTTTCTCCTACTGTAGGTCCAATAAGCACATCCAATGTCTTTGGTGTACCCTATGCTTCTGATATAAGGTGTTGTCTTTCTCTATAATTTATACTACAATGTTGACATACATGCACCTGTACCACTACCCACACTGAACCTTGCAGTTTAGAAGATTCAGAAAGATTCCACTTTTCAGCCATGTCCACTTTGGCATGCAATCGCCGCATCCCAATTTGGACTGCTGAACACTGATAGCCAGAAGTGTGGAAAACAAATTAAGTTTCGATTAAATTTGTTCACGGTCTACTTTGTAAGTGTACTTGAATGTACATTGTACATCCTGACACCGCTTTTCTTGTCCTGAGGTCCATATGCCATGTGTGGGATGCATCTACCGGTAGGTGTGAATAAGCTCGCCAGGCGGGGGTAACAATGCAGTCCCCCCCCTAAATGCTTCAGTGTTCTATAAGAAAACTATTTTTCTATGCTACATGTATGCTTAATTTGAGCTGAATGATAAGGCGTGCAATCACGTAAGAATAAAGACCAAACCCAAAATTCTTTGCAGAGAAACCCTACATGTACAAGGGAAGCCTGCCGGTACCCTGCATTTTCCCAATGCACAAAACTGCCTCCCAAGCACATCACGCAGCATTTTAATTCTGGGTCCGAACTGAAAGTCAACAACAGACAACAGGAAAAAGCAATCTCCTGCAAACAATGTCCATGTTGAATACCACTGCTTTTATGCATTTGCAGAAAAGTTGTGACACTGTAAACATCACAAAGAGATTTTCCTGCTGGTATACACCTTTTTTTTTTCGTTCGAAAGAAAAAAACACCCTGCTTGAAGAGATGTGCTTTCTAATGTCATTGTTTGGTGAACAACTGTTTTTGGGTCACGTTTCTATAGCACTTTGCCCCATCATGGTGCACTCTCCTTGTCGCCTTCATTTTTAACCACTTGGGGGGATGCTTTTTGTCCACAATGAAGTTTGTATTACATGTATTTTTAGTCCAAAATCTTGAGTTTTTAAGAACAGGATCAGGAGCCCCTTTTCGTAAATTTTCTGGGACACCACACGTCACTCTTCTCTCGAGAGTCATTGTTCATGTACGAGATTTGTACAACATTTCTTGCAGGTACAGACTAATGTTTGTTTTTTCATGCATATCATCACGGTGCTTTGTGCCATGTTGAGCCTCTAGGGGCCCTACCACTAATGTCTTTTCACAAAATGCCCATTTTTCCAAGGCAGCTAGCCAAACGGGTTCAATTAATATTTTTTTTCATTTCCATTTTATTGTCAAATCTTTACCAAACAATTTTTTTTCCCCTGGACATTTTCACAGCAAACCTGTCTCTAGTGGTGATTCGCTGTTTTCCCCTCCATCCATTCAGTGCCAGCAGAAAGGTTCTTTGACCATCTAACCGTATCGGAACGTCCTCATGTTGGTTTTAATTGTGGTCTTGCATCATGTGGTGCGTGTAACTTTCCATTCAGTCGTAAACAGCTGCTCAGATTGGATGCAAACAAGTGAGGCTTATCACGATGGTGCATCAGGCCATGCAAGAGTTTGAAAATTGGATTCATGTTGCTTCCAAAAATAGTACAGTACTCTCAACCAGGTTCATGCAAGAACTCACAGAGAACAACTGAACAATAGAAAGAACAGATCTCCAAAGTTGATTGAGCTATTACATGAACATGTAATGTTAATTGTGTGACATTTGATGCGGAACAGAAATCAACAAGCCTGACAGGGAGCATTAATGAGCTGGAATGTATGTGTGTGTCTAGCCTCCTTTCAAACAAATTCTTGTGTGTCTCATCAAGCAGCTGTCTCAACTAAAATGTCACGCTACATAGTGCGTGCTACGATCAAGTACACGTTGTAGCAGTGTTACCAGTTGTAGTCAGGACCATCACAAGACCTTTCACAAGACCATGCACAAGACCATGCACAAGACCTTTCACAAGACCATACACAAGACCATGCACAAGACCTTTCATACACGTAAGACCAGTCACAGGTACAAGCACCAGAGTGAACAATGCCAAAGCAATGCTTTTGTTGCATTTCATTTGAATAGCTTGAAAAGTGAATTCCGACTCAAGGCCTTGTGTTGGTCTTGTGGTGGTCTGTAGAGATCTGGACTACAACGCTGACTGTTTTAAATCTCAGCACATGTACCTTGGACGCATCGTATCATGACGATGTAATTATTCTCAAGATCTCACAGTCCTGTTTCCTATAAAAATTCACGGCCTAATCGAGGCACAGGCAAAAATATGTGGCTAACAAATTCTCCTGTGCTTACATGAGGCAAAGACGGAGATCCTCAATTCATCACTTGCTATGTTTGAAGTTTCCAATCAATTTTAAAGGTGGCTTTCTTTATTTTGGAACCCTGACAGTGAACCCAAGCGATTTCAGGTTAAAGCCTTAAGACATGATGACTGGAGCTTGTACAATGTTGCTGAAAAGATTGACCACTCCCTGGTCTGGTGGCATACATGTACATGTAGAAAATGTACAGAAATACAGATTACCTGTAGGTACCGACAAGTGCCCCAATGGAGTGGCAAAGGAATATTGCACAAGAGCCAGTCTATTTGCTGACATGGCATGGCTTTACAACTTTTCAGTACTGTACTTTTTGAGACAAATTTTTTATACATGTAGAACTGTTTACAAATGTATACAATGTGTTCACTAAAATTATCAGGCTCCTACATTGTAAAGATTGTTGCACATGATGTTTGGAGTGTGAAACTTTGCGGGATAAAGTGCCATTCGTGAGGCCCGAGTGATAGCTATTCCAGCCTCCACTTGCCATGAAAAATTGTTGTTTTCCCTAGGGCTGTGCCAAATATCCAAATATTCGATCAATTATCAAATATTCAAATATTATTTTCCGAATTTGAATATTCAGATACAAAATTCTTGAAAAGAACAGGGAATTCCTTTGTTTTAAATGAGAAAAATTGCACCATGGAGGCTTGATTCAAGCAGATTCAAATAAAAAAGGATTCAAAAAAGTAAATTATTCATTAAACAATTTAAAAGGAATAGAAATTTTCATAATCTTTCTAAATCTTACCTGGAGATATTCCTAGATGTGAGAAGTTATTACAGTGATCATATGTACAATTGTGTGCATTATTCCAATTATTTTGTATATGGTTTGTGTCTCAACAATCTGCTGGTTGGTACAACCAAATATTCGGATATTCAATCAAAGTGAAGGTCAAATATTGGACTAGCATATTATTCGATTTGACTCCGCCCTAGTTTTCCCTGCAGGACTGTGGAATCAACTTATTTACATAATAACTTCTCCAATAATGCATGTAGGTGAAGTGGGAGTCCCTGTACTGAGATGACACGGTACTTCTTTTGAAGTCAGAAAGGCATTTTGATGTTGTTCACGCTTTGTTGATGCTGTGTTTGTTGACACTAAATGCATACATGTAGCATTGCGGTGAAAGTTTCACTGATTCACGTGCAATAAAATAAATGAAACAGAAAGCTCTTACTGGTCCCTACGCAGTCCTTTGCCCTCCGGAATAAGCATGGCAAGGACAGCCATGCGATACATGTGGTCTGACACACTCTCTGGCTGTTCCACCTTGTGGTTCACCCACCCTGTCCGTTTCACTCGCTGCAAAGGACCAAAATACCACAGAAATGTATTGCAAGCATTTGTGTACTAAAATGAATAAGAGCCATAAATTCTTCTTGGGGAGGGGCTCCGTATACATGTACATGTGCATTAATTTAACAAGGAAAATAGCTATTGATTTCACCAAGCCACAATCTTTCATGGATGACATATACACTGTACGCAAAATACCTTTGTTTTCATAAAGCTCCAAAGAATCAGAGGGACAAAAAAAAAAGAATTTTTCTTAGACTAACTTCTTTATTAACTTCCCAATGCCATAAATCATGCCCGAAGGGTTGAGCCTCAGGAGTCATCTGGTCATTTTCCAAAGCCATGAGAAAAGAGAGGCTATAGACTTGCATCCACGCCCACATTAGTAAGAAAAAGATTTTAAAAAAACACAAAAATCAAGGTTCCAAAACTTCCAGCAGCTGTATAGAACATGATATTTATGCGTTTCATCCATACTGAGCTCAGTTGAGATAGCTTTTGAATGTCCAGATGTCTGCTTGAGCTACGGCCAACTCACATGCCTTGGATTGGATTGCTTGTCTATTATGTACATTTCACTCTTTTTTGTTGTGATGATCCCTAATCGACCCAACCCATGAACTGATGAAGGGCCTACAAATGTAACTCATCTCTCAGCAAGGCTTTGATTCTAGTTTGGCAATATTATGCTTGAAAAGTGTCTGTACTTGGAGGTTAAAATAGAAGAATGAATGATGAAAAACGAAAAATGAAAAAATGCCATGGCAATGACATGGAACAGCCGCGGAGACGATGAGGGGTCAAGTGACGTAATGCTCAACGACCTTATTTTAAAGATGGCGACTGTGAGAGTGAGCCTGTTAGATTGAATGGATAAAGGAAAAAAGACTGGAAAATACCTGAATAACGTGAATGAAATCATTCAATAAATGGTATTTAGAAAACGGAAAAGTCAAGAATCATGTTCGTATGCAAAAGAAATTGCGCCCACGATGATAAGTGGGTGCGCCAAAAATGTTCAGTATTTTAAATGTTCAGGTTTGACCCTAAGGTCCTTGGGAACCACTGAGTTCTTGATGCAACGGACAAGGAAGGTCAGGTGGTTGGAGTAGCGGGCAAACTTCATCCTGCAGCGTTCATACCTACGTATGAGCTTGAGGGTAGTGCGCCCATATTAAAAAATTCATGGTTAACCTACTAAAAATTGAAAATCAAATGAAAATCAAATGAAATCTGAAGGACCAAACAACACATTGTTTTTTGAGGCCTCAGGGACTTCAATTGCCTGCCATGGGGCTCCAAACTTGGTTGATTTTACACTATTTTCAATGGAGCTTGAATTGGTTCAGTGCACCCCTAGGCCCTTACTTTATCAATGTTTATGAGATGAGAGAAACTATGGCCAAAAATCGACAACGACAAAACATAAAACCCTAAATCTGCCTGAACTCATTGTCCTGAACTTACTTTTAGTTGACCAACAAGGCGCATAAAATCAATGATATTTTTCAATTGGTCGTCCATTTCTTCGGCACAATATGCATGACGTGCGGGACGTGCACGCCGCGCCAATGATGAATGTAAACGACATGATCTATCCCAGAATGCCATCCTCTAGTTTTTATAGAGCCAATGAAAATACTCGTTACTTAAGAGATGGCGAGTAACTACACGATAGCTTGATTGTGATTGGTTTAATGGTTTGCCGGCAAGCAATATGGCGGCGCCCATGCGACTCGGGGTGAGTGCTATTAGGTTGGCCAGAAAGCTTTCGCAAATACGGTCACTGCGTGGGCTAAATGCCCCCAGAGCCACTTTTTGTGATACATCAGATAATAGAGATAGTTCAGAAATAAGTCGTTTGGACCAAAGTGGTGAATCTACCGAGTGGAAGGCAGAGGAAGTTCAGCCTAAATTAACTGGATTCGCTCGAGCATTCGCAAAGCATTCGGCTGTGCAGCAGACCGGTCTCCCCGAAACAGACGCATCACCAGAGACGCCTCAGAGCTTTGCTAAGCTCCTAAGACATTCATCCCACGTCCATATTGGCAACGCCAAGGGTCAAATTGTCATTGGAAAAATTTTTCACGTTGTTGATGATGATCTCTATATTGATTTTGGAGGGAAATTCCACTGTGTGTGCAAGAGGCCTGAACAAGATGCAGAGTAAGTAGGACACACTAGGAATTCCACAATTTTATAAGTCCATAATAATTATTTCGTGTATTTTAGAGGGTTGACTTTTTCTTGAATGACCCTAAAGTAAGCAACAAACTGGGGGGCATTTCTTTCTCAACACATGTACAATAGGATGACATTACTTTTTACATGCAGACAATTGATGCCGGTATTTGACAATTACATGTAACTAGTAGGCCTTGTAGGTAGTTACATGTACAGCAAAAAGTCAATTTTTCAGATGGAGATCAGGGACTAAACTACTTCTGTATCCTGGGCCCCACTTCCAACTATGAATAAGACAGATAAAGTGAAGAGTTTTTTTTCCACAACACAGAGAATATTCTTTCAAGTAGATTGCTGGTTTCAGCGTATTCATAGCACACCTACCTCGTGTTTCTTACCACATGTAGCAAGGGAAAGTATGTTTACATGATGAAATTATAAGTTTAAGCTTGTTTGCAGACAGTTGCAATTCTTAATAACAAACAAGAATAACAATATAAGCCTGGGAATCACTTTTGCGACACAGGGCTGTGAAAAGGCAGGTTCATACTTCCACTGAACGTGATAGCAAAGCAAATTCACTCAACTTGCAATGTGTCCAACTTACGCAAATTTGCAGGGTGAATACTTGATATGGTCTCACAAAAGTGCTACATGTACATGAACATGCATATTCACTGTATTGTCGCACTGATTTCATAGCTCTTTATTTCTTAACAGGAAGTTCCACCGTGGCACCAAGGTCCGACTTCGCCTGCAGGATGTTGAGCTGACAGATCACTTCATCGGTGCAGCCAGGGATCTCAGCCTGTTGGAGGCTGATGCAGATCTCTTGGGACTCGCCAAACCCCATACACAAACAATCTCTTGACTGATCAATCGCATGCATCATTCTCTGGAGGAAGGACTCAAACACCCTTGTTTGATGCAAAAGTTTTTAACATTAAAGAGTAATTTGAACAACCTTCTCTCCTCCATTTTCAACGTACATGTTAAGCTGGCATCATCTGAAAAGTGGCCTGTTAGAAGATGTTGCAACAAATGCCGCTTAAATATAATACAGTGTAAATGATCATTTATCACTGACACAAACATGGCTGTGCGCACAGTCATGGACATTCACTTGGGATGAATCCATGGGCAGATCCCGGGGTAAACAGATGCCTACCCCAACCACCCCCCCTTAATCTTTTTTTTTTTGAAAAATAATTAAGGAATTAATTTCCCTCCATTCCCAAAAGTGTGTGAAAAGACCCAAACTGTGGCCTCACCCCTCAGACTGCCCATAACAGTTACATGTCAAGAATTCCACTACATGTATTTTGGTCCCTCACAAAATTTTGTTCTGGATCTGTCCTTGGATCAACGCAGGTGACTGGATACAGTCATTGATATGGACATGATCATGGACAGTGGTGAAATTATTCAGTGAGTTATTGTTATGGACACTGGCACGAGTAGCGATCGGCTACATGGATATGGACGTGTACATGCTTGACTTGTATCCTGTGAACTGGAAGTGTTCAAACTATTGGCTGTGGCTTGGAGTGGCAAGTGCGTCTGGGGAAAATGCATGCAGTCACTACCAGGTGGCTTCCATTGAGGCATGTATCATATCCAGCTGTAGCCAAGCAAATTGGACATTGCCTCAGACAGGAGTCGCAGCATTGTTATGTAATGTAGAGTTAGATGGCACTCGTCAATATGAACACATTTTAAGTAAGGCTTTAAGGGTTAGCACTCCCAGTTATGTCAGTTTTCGTAGCCTGTACACTTTGTTCGGACTTTTGGCATAGAGCTACATCGAAAACAGTTGATAATGTAAATGGGAATCGAATGTGTAATGCTCAATTTGGTAGCACCCTTTCGGGTCAAGCTGCATTTACTTGTGAAAATAACTAAGACTTTCGAATCATTCAGAATTGCAGATTGACTGCAGTCGAGTTCGATTAATTTTAATCTATGTATGAATAAGTATATATAATTTTTTTTTGTCAACACAGATTTAAGACATTGCATTTGTAACCAAATAAAAGTGAAATTTTCATCTCGATAAGGTTCTGTACTTTCCCGCTTTCATTGTGTTGTTTTCCTCATTTGCAACATGTCTCATAATTTTATTCACTGGAAATGTGTTCAAGTGCAGCATAGTCTCCTTTTATGTCTTTCAAATAGCGAGGCAAACTAACGTCCAGATGAGTGATATTCATCAACATGCTTCAGAGTTAACCCCCGGTCGCCGTAAGCAGAAATAGGACAAATTGATGAAATTTTAAGGGAAGCTGTAGACTTGCTCTTTATCCTTCCCAGTACCTTATACGGTTAATCGTTGGCACCAATGGCCGACAGGTACATGTAATTATCGTGTGGTAATTGAACTTTTTCACAGTGAATGTCCGAAGTTAAGGGAAACGTTACGAGAAGAAAATAACGCAAAATCACCAAAAACTTACCCAGATTGGGCTGCAAGAGAATCTAATTTGAGTGCATCTAACTAAAACTCCCCGATTCGACATAATGTCAGTAGCCGGACAAGGAGGACACGTTGAACGAAGTGCGTCATATACATGTACATAACTGAAATATTTATACTTTATTCTATCAATTCTTCTACAGTTCGATTTTGAACTTCCCATGCCGTGTCTCTTCAACGTGAATGTGATGTTTTTTTCATAGTATAAAGTATAAATATTTCGGATATGCGTATGACGCACGTCGTTCTACGTGTCCTCCTTTTCCGTCTACCTGTGCATGAGGTCAAACAACTTGCTTTTGATCGCATCTCGAAGAAGCGCCCTCTCGGCTTCATCTTTGGTCTAGTTCGGGCGGTCTGTTCTTGGTATGGGTTTCTTGTTCCCGCGCTCGAACGGCAGGGCTGAGTTCGGGCGGCTT